CTAAATATTCAAAGAATACAGAAATCATCTTATCAGATTATCTTATCTGTGAAACCGAATAAATACCAATTGCCAATGAGACAACTATCCACCAAAGTTCAAATAGAGTGGATGTAATGATAAAAAGCCCATACCGTATAGTCGGCTATAAAAGGGCCGGACATGAAAAATATAAAACAATTAAATTAAAAAAACTAACGGCCTAATTTATAACATAACAATTTACAAAAAACAAATATGACAGACATGAACCAACGACAACCACTGACCTACAGGCTCCTGACTTGGAACAGGCACACAAAGAATGTGGCGGGGTTAAACATGTTTGCGAGCGCTCAACCCTTCCCTAACCTGGGACAGTATTGTAACAGCACAACATAAGAACAAACTATAAAAATCAGTTGAAAAAGGCTAAATACTCATCAGATCGACACAAAGCAGAAAAAGACATCAAACATAAACACAGACCGGACGTGGCAGGGTATTTATCCATCCCTCATCCCTAACAACAAAAAGGACAGTAAGTTCAGATCTGAGAGTACTCGCAGTTATTGACAGCTAGTTCAAAGCTTATAACAACTAATAAAAAATCATTTATCTAAGTCTAAAACATCAATCAGTACACATCCAACATCCACTGGATCAGTGTGTAAAGGCGTCATTAACATTGAAGTCATGTATCTAAGTCTAAAACATCAATAAGTACACATCCAACATCCACTGGATTTAGTGTGTAAAGGCGTCATTAACATTGAAGTCATGTATCTAAGTCTAAAACATCAATCAGTACACATCCAACATCCACTGGATTTAGTGTGTAAAGACGTCATTAACATTGTGGTCATGTATAGCGATGATCTGGAGTTCACCGTGTTAAATTTACAAAATTAAACTAACAGATTGCTCATCACCATTTTTTGGCATAGAAAATGTAAACAAAAATTAATGTTCTCATAGTATAAAAGAATAATGTAAAAAAAACAGATTTTATTTTTTATACTGCAACTAGTTGCGTTTATTTCCTAAACATGGCTATATTTTGTATGATGTCAATTTCATCATGGAACCCTTTCTCAATCAGGGGTCCATTAAGGGATGAAAATAAGTTTGACATTTGTGTTACGATTTAAAAAGCTATCAATGTATTAATTTAAGTTGCAGTATAAAAACAATAGTAGGTCAATGTCATAAAAATATAAACTTTTTTGTGCTCTGCGCAAAACTGGGGAAGGACTCGGTAGAACCTCGCCCTTCCCCAGTTTCTCAGCCTCATACAAAAAAGTTTATATTTTCATGACATTGACCTAATATTGTATATGTAGAAAATTAATCACAAAGTGTGGAAAAATTGAAATATGTATATAAATTTGATATTTCTGATCGTGAAAGATCGGTTACCGCTTTTTGATGATCGTGAAAAGGAGCGCTAAGGATCAGATGCCGCTTATTTGCTTTTACCAAAATAATTGAAAGCGTTGAAACTGTCTGTAAATATATGATCATATTTATCATTGTTAATGATGAAACAGAAGGCTGGACTTAAATAACTTATTCAATTTCAAATTTGTTACGGAATAGGGATATGATGGTTCAATGCCATTGGATCTGGGTTTTTAAGAAGACCACATCATTCTATTTATTTGTTTCCCTGAGGAACATCACAATATTCCCAAAGGAACATTTTACTAATGGTAACTTTTATTATGTTTTCTGAAGAGGAACGTATATTATCAGAAAATAGATGTCAACGTTACGATTTCAATGAAATAAAAGGAGAATGAAAAATGCAATTAACAAGTAAACAATATTAGCACTGTTTTAAAAGATTAAAAACATTTACATTTTCTATGAAAGTGCTAAAATATTTCGACCTATAATTAAGGTCTGTCTAAAATATTTCACAATTTTTTGTCGTATAAATATTGTTTTTGGTAAATTTTATTTTCTACGTTAAAGTACAATATGTGAGGGGGCTGGATGGATGGAGTTTACAGAATGGAGACTAATAAATGGGTCAAATGCACAAAAAAATCAATAAAAAAAACATAAAGAATAGAGAAAATAGGGTAAAACATAATGGGGTGCTAAAATATAAAGAATACAGAATAATGACCTAAAACATTACAGAATGGAGAAATGAAGTACCCCACCCAGACCCTCATATGTATATAAGAAAAAGATTAGAACATGACATACTGCATACTATATGAATGTTAAGTCCTTGTTCAATATCAACCCTCGAGCTTTCGTCTCTTGGGCTGATGGCATGACGTAGGCCTTATGACACATTCTGATATAAAAACTGTCATTTAATAATCTGATATTATTAACGGTGTGATGTTGTAATAGTAATATAGACTATTTATAATTTCTTTAAATGTTTTGCAGGTAAAAACATGCTATGTCATTATTGTTTATATGTATATATAAATAAGAAAATGTGGTATGAGTGCCATTGAGATAACTATCCATCCAAGTTACAATGTGTAAAAAGTAAACAATTATAGGTCAAAGTACTGCCTTCAACATAGAGCCTTGGCTCACACCGAACAGCAAGCTATAAAGGGCCCCCAAAAAGACTAGTGTAAAACATTTCAAACAGGAAAACCAACGGTCTAATCTATATAAAAGGCGAGAAACGAGAAACACTTATGAACCACATCAACAAACGACAACCACTGAACAACAGGCTCCTGACTCAGGTTATGTGCATAAAAATGCATGTTTATTCTGGTATGTGATGTACGCTTTTATAAGTTTTTACAGCAAAATTGTCTTTTAAAGTTTGAATAAACACCGTTTTTACTTTTAGGGTGATTATGATCTTCGCTGAATGAAGGTTTAATTTTTTTAAATATGAAAAACATATAATTAACAGTTATTTATGATAACAAAATCTAAGAGTTTAAGCAAATGACGACGAATATGCGCCAATTGTCAAAACCACGATCCAGTCCTCCTTCCTTCGAATGTAACATCACCGAGTTAGACTTATCACTGACACGACGGGTGACATATGTCGAGCAGGATCTGATTACCCTTCATGAGTACATGAAATCAGCCCCGGTCTTTGTTGGGTTTCGTGTTGCTTAATTTTTAGTTTTCAAAGTTGTTTTTTTGTGTTGCTAAATCTTTAGTTTTCAATGTTATGTTTCGTGTTGCTTAGTCTTTAGTTTTCAAAGTTGTGTTTTGTTTTGCTAAATCTTTAGTTTTCAATGTTGTGTTTCGTGTTGCTTAGTCTTTAGTTTTCAATGTTGTGTTTCGTGTTGCTAAATCTTTAGTTTTCAATGTTGTGTTTTGTGTTGCTAGATCTTTAGTTTTCAATGTTATGTTTTGTTTTGCATATTCTTTAGTTTTAATGTTGTGTTTTGTGTTGCTTATTCTTTAGTTTTAATGTTGTGTTTTGTGTTGCTTAGTCTTTAGTTTTCAATGTTGTGTTTTGTGTTGCTTAGTCTTTAGTTTTCAATGTTCTGTTTTGTGTTGCTTATTCTTTAGTTTTCAATGTTGTGTTTTGTGGTATGATTGCCAATGAGGCAACTCTCCACAAGAGACCAAATGACACAGAAATTAACAACTATAGGTCACCGTACGGCCTTCAACAATGAGCAAAGCCCATACCGCACAGTCAGCTAAAAAAGGCCCCGAAATGACAATGTAAAACAATTCAAACGAGAAAACTAACGGCCTAATTTATGTACAAAAAATGAACGAATAATAAATATGTAACACATAAACAAACGACAACCACTGAATTACAGGCTCCCGACTTGGGACAGGCACATACATACAGAATGTGGCGGGGTTAAACATGTTAGCGGGATCCCAACCCTCCCCTAACCTGGGACAGTGGTGTAACAGTACAACATAAGAACAAAGTATAAAAATCAGTTGAAAGAGGCTTAACTCATCAGATGGATAAAAATACAAATACTAAAAAGACGTGTGTTGTGTTTCGTGTTGCTTAGTCTTTAGTTTTCAATGTTGTGTTTTGTGTTGCTCAGTCTTTAGTTTTCAATGTTGTGTTTTGTGTTGCTTAGTCTTTAGTTTTCAATGTCGTATTTTGCCATGGTGTTGTCAGTTTGCTGTCGACCTAAGTCCTATGAGTTTGGATTTCTCTTTGATAACTACCGCCATTCTTTTTATAGCACTGGACTTATTTAACATCATCATAATTTTCCAATATACACTGATACCAACCTCTTAGAAAACAAACAAAAAATTATAACTAAAACGGTAGAGAACTTTTCTTATGTGTTGCTCTTAGCTTTAATCAGACTGGTTAAAAATCAAGAGAATCTTTACTCGTAGAGAATTCAATCGTCGATATACCTCACATTTGAACTAAAGGGAATGTAAATTATTATATGTCAACAAACCAACGACAAAAATGACAAAACGACATTCAAAGGACAGAATGTAGTCTTCAGCAAAAGCAAATTGTCTTTACAATATGTATCTACATCGTCCCGAGTCGATACAAGTTTTGAATGAATTAAATGGAAAACAAATCAAAGATCTGTAGTTAACACCGTTATCCAATGATTCAAAAACGAAAAATGTCAAGATAAATGTATGACATTCGGCAACTACTGACGAAGTTCCTGACTTGGGATAGGCACATTAATGTATGGAGCGTTTATCTATTTTGTATTAACCCCCTCTTTTTGTTTTAGCTATTTATCTTAATTTTATTGGCTTATGAGTTCATGGATACTGAAGTTTTCTTGTCACAAAATTTTTATTACATGCACAAAATTAATGTTAACCAAAGACTGATTGTAATTCTCTGAAAGCGGTTGATCTGTAGTCAAAATATGCAGAAATTTGATTAAAAAAGGCACTTTCGGTTGTGGTCTTCAAAACAAACAATCGAGTCTAAACAAATCAGGTGACGAAGTGTTTTTTTGGGGTCTAAATCAATTTTAACTCGAGATATTTCTATTAAAAGCAATAACGTAAAATTGATATTTATAGCGTTATTATTTTTTTTCTACTTTCAGTGGTAAACATTGGCAATGTATTTTCACAAAGAAACCGAAATAGATGGAGATCTAGAATAAAGGATACCAGCTCACACTCCGGTGGAGGAGGACCTGGTGGTCGTGTGCGTCTCAGAATACCACAACGAGTCTTAGGTAAATATTTTTGAATTCTAACAAAACTTATCCCAACGCTTACAGCCGATTCCAACGAGTGTGTAGCTAAAGGTAGAATCTTTGGTTAGCTTCCTTGCTAGCTCAACCATGAAATGATTATTACCTTAAGATTGGGAGGAGCAAAGCACCATTTTATCATCCAATGAAAACATTTATATCAATGACCTGTTTATTATTTATAATATATGTATGTTTCGTACAAAGGTTTACCTAGACTACTTTGCAAATAAAATTTCATTTCTTAGTCTTTGATTGAATTAAAAAATCTTTTTATTACAATAAATTAGAAGCGGAGTAACGTTTTTTTTTTTAAATATTTACGCCGTGAATAGGCAGTTTTAACTTTAGTTAATTAGTGTCTTTATGTGCACGCAAAAAACATTGTTATGGTCTTGGTGTCTTTTCTTCATATATATGCATAGTTTTTAGAACTAAAATCTTTTATATTCACACAGAAAAGAAAAAAATATCATACTATTTAATATCATGCACGGTTGCATTTGTGGACCTTTTATTTAGTTAAAAATGCAACGAAAAAAAAAAACAGCAAACAACTGCAGTCTGGAATTGAAAATATTGCAGAGTTTATGAACATCCACTTGGTCCGTTAACATTACCTTACTTATTAGTGTTAGATAAATAATGCAGCCATGAAGAACAATTTTTATGTCTCTACTTCAGTTTTAATCTGACCTAGATTGAATTATCAGGTCATATGTACTTTTGGACACCTTCAAATCTTTTTTACCTGTCCGGGTGTATTTTAAACATATGTGTATGTGTAAAAGTGAACACGGTCAGCACTTGTCAATCATATCCAACTACATTTTATCAACTTCATGTAAAAAATTCAACAGACAAGTTAAATATATTATTATTTGTAATGTCTGACGAAGAAGAAAAAAATAAGGAATTTCAGCTTTCAGTTAACTTTTCATCATTTTGGCAAATTAAACACACCTACAACATGCATGCTTGTGAATGAGCTTATAATTATCACTAAATTGTAAATTCAGATTGAAAACTTATTTTTAAACTGACTTGTAAAACTAGATTTACAATGTTTATATTCTGTCGCTTATAATTCTCATTGGTTCTCTGCTTAACTATTGACTCCACCCAAAGGCTGAATGTGCCTTACCTAATAACGATTTCATGGTTGAGCTAGCAAGGAAGCTACCTTTAGCTACACACTCGTTGAAATCTGCTGTAAAATAAGTTACATTAATACAGTACAAGCAATGTTTGTTTTTAACAATGAAGGATCCATTTTATTTTCCCAATATGTTTTGAAATGCAATGATTTTTGTTTGAATCGCAATACTTTTTTCGACAGTTCTTAGTATATGATATGGATACTAATGAAGTCGTGTGCAAAAACAAAGACCCAAACTTAAATCGACATAATATTACTTACTTACTGAAATTGAACGTTCAAAAGAATATATATGAAAAGGAAAAGAAATTACGATAAAGTGTTCAAATTCATTTACTAACTTTCTTCAAATACTTTTTTGGCAAAGAGAAACAATTACAGGGTACTAATTTGTGGCCCCTGCCACAGATGGTCATGAACGATTTGAATATTTAGCATTTATATTAACTCTTTGCAGGTTACAAATTTATTGGATGTCTTGTTGACAATAGAGCTCGAATGTTAGATGTGAAACATGAAGATCGACAAATGACTATACAGAAATGTGCAAAATTATGCTCCGAGTTTAGTTTCTTCGGTGTACAGGTTAGTTGTGAAACATGTAGATCAACAAATGACTATACAAAAATGTGCAAAATTATATTCCGAGTTTAGTTTCTTCGGTGTACAGTTTAGTTTAAATATATTTGATTGCTAGACAAACAGACGACATTGAAATAGCCAAATCTATTTTCAGTCCCAATTTTTTGTCTATTCCTAAATTTCGTTTCCCGTGACGTGATAAAGCCCAAATCTGTGGCCCTTGACTTCCAGTAATGGCTCTTTGGATAGACACATTCTGTATACAATCGGATGGAGCTAAAGCGCTAAACCGTCCTCTATCCTGGAGCCGTTGTGGAATAACAGAACATAAGAAAAAAAACTGTAAAAAATAGTTTGAAAGGTTTTTACTCATCGGCACAAAGAAACAAATCAACTAACACAAAGAAAGTAAACTCAAACAAAAAATCCTAAAAAAAAAGAAAGAAAACATTTATGACAAATGTGTTTATATATATAGATGTATTGACAGGTTTCTGAAAGACTGGTGACCATGACTATTAAATGAATAATAAAAAACGCAACAAAAATACAAGAGCAGGGTATATTTTGCCTGTTTGTTAGATCGGAAGTACCTGTGTTGGTACCTCCTGACATGTCGGGTGAGCGATTACATTTAAAAAATGAAATTATTGATTTCATTTAAAAGGGGGGATTAATCAGAAAGTCTTCAGGGAATGGCAGTGGAATTTTATTTAGGTTTCCGAAAGTTTGGAGCAAGTGAATCAATTTGGAGTGGCCTTACATTAAGTGTTGGTTTTTGGTTCCGTGTTGTTCGAAAGAAATGGATTATTATCTATTTTATCATTTAAGTATTCAAGACAGTGTTTTTGTGGAAATTCCCGCGGTAGTAAAAGAGTATACAGAAGAAGACGTAGACGCGAATGTAATTTTGCTTGTGCTGGAAACAGGAGACAAAGCTGTGGAGGGAGATGGAGGAACACAGTTTACTGTAAGCAACTTCATTTTTCGTATAATCGAATAGGTAAATCTTGCAACAGCGTTCTAACTTTGTCATCAAAACAAGACGAATCTAAGTCGCCACAAAAGTCATCTGTAGAAATCGGTTAAACAAATCAGAGCCGTAAGAAGAAAAATAAAATCCGATAGGCAGATTAAAGTTGGAAAAAAAACCTATCTAATATAAAGATGATGGCTGAATGTAGGTCATTTAGGGGAGGGGCTCCTTCATTCCTTTATTCTTTTACTTTTTAGACAATTTTCACTAGTCTTTATTTATTTTGACCCTTATTCTTTATATATTTCAGCATCTCATTATTTTCTATTCTTTATTTTCTTTGACTTTTTTTCTCTATTCGTGATATTTTTTGGCTTTTTATTTTGCCATTTTTGCCCATTATTATCTACACTGTAAAACCACTTATATGATGTATCTATTCATGACAACAAGTCATTACACGAGCATGCAAAAAAAGACAATAATCATTAAAAACACGAAATGTTATTCGTTGGTTCTAACAATAGATTTCTCTTGTAGCGAGAATAGGACCATGTGAGTAAAAAAATATTTTATTAAAATATCTATTTAAGGAGAATTTATTTAAGATAAATACAGTTGGGCATCACGTGACCCAAACATTAACGCAGCAGAGAAAACATTAGATTAATCATAATACGTTGATAGTATCAAGCAAACATTAAAAAAACAAAAAACAAAAACACGCTTTAAATAATAATTTTTCCTAAATAACGTACAAAACTTTAAAATCATATTTTCAGTTCGTGAACTGTCTAGTTTTAAAACTACGGATGAAAATCATTTCGGCAAAGTTGACGTTTGACGGGATAGTATGATTGTCAATGATACAAATACATAAGAGATTCCAAATGAGGTAGATGTGGGCAGCTACACATGTATATTTCACCGCAGGGCTTCAAGAATGAACAAAACTCATACTGTATATTCAGCCATGATAGGCCTCGATATGACAAAATGTGGAACAATTCAAACGAAAAAAAAAACACCCCAACTCCATCTTAATCAGTGCGCACCCAATTTTGTCTATATAGCGGAACAATAAAGATAAATGTCATACAAGAGGGAGGTTTAGCTAGCCACAAAACCAGGTTTAACCAATCAATTTAATTGGAAAATGCATGTACCAAGTCAGGATTATAACCGTTGTTTTCCATTCGTTCATATAATTGATATAGTCTAAAGTTTGATTTGTCAGTTTCAATAGACTTTACCTTTTTGAATTTAGCTTGGAGATATGTATTTTTGTTAATACATTATTCTTGCAATTTCAATTGTATTATTAAAAGATATTGTATCAAGAAATGATGACGTATTTACATCACGTGATTTATATCCTTCCTTAAACCATTTAGCAAAACCAACCTGTGCGTCTAGTCCCTGTAAAAATGGAGCAACCTGCATAGCCAAAGCGAATGGATATAACTGCATATGTCCCGCTGGGTTTACCGATGAATATTGTTCTACAGGTAAGTAGTAAATAAACATGGAATGGCTGAAACAATAAAAAAAAAATGATGCAAAAAATACAAAAAAAACAAAAACAAACATAAGACTAACCAATTCAAAAACCCTTAGGAAAAAGTAGATACCAGAGACTATATATTTGAGAGACAAAAGATTTTCGCAATATCAACATTACAAAAGCCTATGATTTTGTTCGTGCATCGCATGTTTTGTGAAAACATCACTTAAGTACAGTACAAAGGGTAATTGCATTAATCATTTAAGAGAAACTAGACACAGAATTTTGCAACATCAATAATTGAAAAAGCGTACATATGCATTTTTATCTTACACCTAGCTATACATGTACATGCTTTAAAAAAAAAAGAAAAGATCTTTTATATACGGTACACTCAAGACCAGAAAGTTGGGCAATCATAAGTATGAAATGTTTGAGAGCACTTTGTAATTCAGTAATATTTACAGCAAGGATGTATGAAATGAATGAAACTTGAAGCGAGTTTAAAAATACTTTAAGCTAAAATTTCAGATAAAATTCATGAAGCCCACCTCCGGGGGCGGGATTTTCTCGCTGTGTTGAAGACCAATTGGTGGCCTTGTGCTGTTTTCTGCTTTTTGGGCGGGTTGTTGTCTCTTTGAAACGCATTCCCCGTTTCCATTCTCAATTTTAGCTATAATGCATTTTGAGTAGACCAAACTATTTTAGTCAGAAAGATACAAATACAACTCCAATAAAACGCCTCTTGACCATGTAACAATAATTACGTATTTGGCCTACTCATTATCAATAATAATTGAAATCACTTGTTTTCAATATTTTATTTAATTATGCATATTTTCTTTCAGTCATAAACGGCTGTGGCCATAGCTACAATAATCCTTGTAAAAATGGAGGCACTTGTAAAGATGATTCTGTCAATGGGTATTCATGTTCATGCCCAACAGGAATTACTGGGAAAAACTGCGAAATAGGTAAGCAATAAACAGATATTACTTCCGGAGCACCTGAGATCACCCCCAGTTTTTGGTGGGGTTCGTGTTGCTTAGTCTTTAGTTTTCTATGTTGTGTCATCTGTACTATTATTTGTCTGTTTGTCTTTTATTTTTGGCCATGGCGTTGTCAGTTTGTTTTCGATCTATGAGTTTGACTGTCCCTCTGGTATCTTTCGTCCCTCTTTTATATTTAGTACGATGTATGCAGAAATCTTCAGTTACTGAAAATTCTAAATTAGCAACAAGAAAAGAGGGGCCTGATGGGGGGGGGGGGGGGGGGGGGGGTTTCTCATCACGATTCACGAGTTGATTTTTTTGTCAATCACGATTCACAGAAAATAAATTTCCATGATCACGGATCACGAACATATAAAAAAAAAAACTGTAGAAAAACGGATCACGATAGCGAAAATGCGCCGATCACGAAGAACGAAAATAACCCATCAGGCCCCTCAAAAAATGATGTAATGGACATTTAATGAAGTCACAAAAATTCACCATTACAGTATTCATGTTAAAACGTCGCAGTCGACAATTTCACATGAATGCCAAGACCAAAATATTTGGACAGTCAGTAATATAAAATGTTTGGGGGCACTTTTTAATGAAGTATCCTTTATTGCATGCATTAAACACAGAAAAAAAGGAGATGTGGTATGATTGCCAATGAGACAATTATTGTTCTCACATCGTTGTCAATATAATGGAATTTGATGCGACTGTCATACAAGTGATAGGTTTAGCTAGCTGTAAAACCAGGTTTAATCTACCATTTTCTACATAAGACAATGTCTGTACCAAGTCAGGAATATGACGTTTGTTGTCTATCGTTAGATGTGTTTGAGCTTTTGATTTTTCCATTTGCTAAGGGACTTTCCGTTTTGAATTTACCTCGGAGATCAGTTTTTTTGTAATTTTACTTTTTATCTACTAGAGGTCATATGGAGTAGATGTATGTAATAATAGGCCACCATACGGCATTCAACAATGATTAAAATTCATACCGTATCGTCGGCGTTAAAAGGCCTCGACATGAAAAAGTGAAACAATTCAAACGAGAAAAATAACTGCCTAATTTAAAACAATTTACGAAAACAAATATGACCGACATCAACCAACGAAAACTACTGAACTACAGGCTTCCGACTTGGGACAGGCACATACAGAATGTAGCTGGGTAAAACATGTTTGTGAGCATTCAACCCTTCCCTAATCTCGAAATTAAATCATAAAAACATGTTTGTGAGCACTCAACCCTTCTGTAAAGAATTAAGTTCTTTGGATTGTCAAGTGGCCAATGTTATACAAAACTAAATTTAAATATAAATTTAATAAACAAAACAAAAGTAAAGTAAATTCAACATAAATGAAATAATGAAATGAATACATGCAAATGTAACTAAATAAACACACACAAAACAGAACTAAATATAATGTTATGAAATAAACAAAATGAAATTAAACAATTACAGTCCGCACACCTCCATCCACTCTGCACACTTCACGGTAAAGGTTGAACGTTGCACGTACTGTAGAATAACTTTGGGTTGTTCCCCTTGAATTTCTTTTAATATAAAACGGACAGAAAATAACTATTTTCACACATTTTTGGTTGATTCTAAATTGATGAAAAGAACACTAGATTTTATACTTTTACTGCAATGATAACTTCAATGAGCAATGACGACTTGAAACTGCATAATACTGCACGGACTGCTCGATTCGTTTAACATTTAGTTTTGTATAACATTGGCCACTTGACAATCCAAAGAACTTAATTCTTTACAATGGTGGCAGCGGTGGGATATCCATGTCCTAAACTGACAATTATAACACCCAACTGCTACTTTTACCAACTCTAGACTCAGCACAAGCGTGTGCTTAACTCAATGGCCATGTGTCGACTGATTTGAAACTTACCTATGAAATTTCAATAGGTGCCTAATCACGTGATACACATGAAAGGTCTGCTTGACTATATAGGCCGGTGTTAACGAAAATAAGCCCTGACATAAAATATAGTCCTAAGTGAAATAGATATATATAGATAAATAAATGGAGTTTGTTACACCTTCCCTAACCTGGGAATTAAATCATATTTTCCAAGACTAAAATATCAATCAGTACACATCCATAGGATTTAGTAAAAGACGTCATAACCAGTCTGAGAAGCACATGCCCTTGTGCAATGCCAAAAAAAAAAAATAAGTTAACAGTATCGACAGAATGTAGGATCTTGAGTTATCATAACAGTACATGTGTAGCAATATATATTTAGTTATGTCTTAATTTTTCAAAAACAAAATCTATGCTTAAATTGAAAGTGGAAACGGGGAAAACGTCAAAGAGACAACAACCCGACTAAAGAGCAGAAAACAGCCCTAGCCAGCAATGGGTCTTCAACACAGCGAGAAAATCCCGCATCCGGAGGCTGGCTTCAGTTACCCCCTAAACAATAATGTATACTAGCTTAGCAAAAATGGACGTCACACTAAACTCCGAAACATATAAATGAGCCAAAATTAAAAAAAAAAACATGCAAGATTAACAAAGACTAGAGGTTCCTGACTTGGGACAGGCTAAAAAATGTTGCGTTGTTAAACATGTGTTGTGACATCTCAACCCTTCCCCTATAACTCTAGCCAATGTTGAATAAACAAATACACAGCTATAAGCGCAGTAAAATTCGGTACAAAGAAGTCCGAGTTCGATGTAAGAATAAGTAACAGAAGAAACTAAGCAAAATGAAAATAATCAACATAGATCAACAAAGGACTACTAGCAGTTAGTACTGATAAAAACAATGTTTAAAGATTTTACTTCTGTGTTTATTCAAAGGATCAATAAGTTTGCAATGCCTGTATTTAAATTTACAGGCTTTATAAACACCATCACCCTAAAATTAAGGATGTGATATCCCGTTTTCGATAATATCTCTACATAAAACATGTACCGCCAAACTTTTTTTCCCAAATCTTTGTATTTATGAAAGAATTTGGCAAAGGTTTTAATTAATTTGTAGTAAAAATATTCCTGACTTAATAATTTACCAGATATACATAACTTACATTCATTGAAATTTTAAATTGGACTGCAGACACTGGCATGGCGTACAAGTTGTGCAATACCCATACCAAAAGAAGGGACCAAAAGGAATATCACTGTCCAAAAAGGGAAGTTCTTAAAACAGTTGCATGATTAATGTAGATCCGTAGACTAATAGATTGGCCATTTATTTTTTCTTTTGGTAGAATACTAAAAGGGACATTTATTTTTCAGATATTGATGAATGTGAACCTAATCCATGTAAAAATAGTGGCACATGTAAGGACGAAATAAATGGATATAAATGTACCTGCCCTAATGGGTATACTGGAACTAACTGTGAGAGTGGTAAGCGAGATTATCATTTTTTTCCACACAGAAAAAGAAAAGAAAAAAAAGAGATTGAATATGGAAATCTGCTATTTTTCAGGAAGAACGTTTTTTTTACAAATATGCTTTTGCGATGTGACATTGTCAGAAAAATACATTAATCATATTTTTACTGTTTATTTTGTCAGTCCATTTATCAGTCTTATCATGGTTTGGATTGTCCGTTATTCCATTGATCTGACCAGATTGGACTTGACTTGAGTTATTACATAATAGAGGATACTATATAGTTGTATTTACAGGAATTACATGTATGTCTTTCGGTTTGGAACAACAACAAAAAAAATCAAATGGCATATGTCATCTTGTGTATCTCGCATTTGACATAAACATGTCAATTTACAATTCAAAGTATTTACGACTGATAGATAGCGAACACGTGCAATTGGATTTTTCTAGGTCTGTTTGATTTTATATGATAGGTTGAAACAATATGTTAATTAAAGTTTTTACCTGTATAAGAATTAGTTTTTGGGGATCGAATCACTTGCAAATGAATAATTCATCAGCGATGCTTCTTAGCTTATTTTGACAAAATTGAACCAAACTGGCTGCTAAAAGCGAATTATTCTTTCACTTTTTCACTTTCATTAATTATTGAACAAAACATATCATATTTTAATTTTTTTTATATCTCGTAGCTAATGCCCCTTTAAAGAGCAGGCAAAACTATTTTCGTCAGAAACATTTAAATCAAATTCTGATTAGTACGCCACTTAACAAATGTCAGTGTAACACAGTTCTCACTTTGGCGTAATCAATATTGATTACGCACTTAGGTTTAATATTTTGTTTAATTAGTTATGTCTACTTTCAGAAATTCATGGCTGTGGCTCTGATAATCCTTGTACAAATGGAGGCACCTGTAAAGATTCTGTCAATGGGTATTCCTGTTTATGTCCAACAGGATTTGCTGGGAAAAACTGTCAAATAAGTAAGCCTTAATCAAATATCTATCATGTTTATCGGGATATATATGCAGAAATATTAATTACAGAAAACTCAAAATCAGCCACAATACAATGGTGCAATAGACATTAAACTAAGTAAAATAAATACCACAACAGTATCCATATTTATAAGACTTTGAAGTCTGCAATTTCATATTTTATAAAAATGCCAAAAGTCGTTAGATTATACGCTTTTTTTTTAGATTTGAATAACCTTCTAAAAGAACAAACTTCTGATTATTTCAAAACTTACATTTATTTCAATGGAAATGGATTAAAAAATCAGTATCTGAAAACGAATATTTTTTTGTTGAGTTATGACAGTCCAATCCAACTTTATGGTTCCGACGACATTGCATACTCAGTTCATAATTTGTGACAGAAATGACGACATTATTATATGTTAAGTGAACTCAGGAAAAGATTATTTGGGCCTATTAACCCACAGATTTCTTTAAATGCAAGAAACAGTTATTAACCACATTTTGTGAAGGATTGGGAAGAAAATGTAAGTTTAAGGGAAATAGTCGTAACACAATATGACAATGACGTTATTTAACTGACGTCATAAGGGATATGTTTCAAATTTTTTGCAAAATATATTATGTTTTCAAATAAATTTTATTTAAATTAATATAGAGCACAAGCGTATCCTAAAACATCTTTTGACCTGTAAAAAGGTAAACACAAATTACAACTGTATTGATAATATATTTTTGTGCATGATCATCCAAAATTCAAGATTTGGCGTTTTTTTTTTAATTCTTACTGTGATTTCTGTCATTTTATGGATGCACAACCCATGAAAAGGGTATAGCATTATCCTAAAATGCAACATTTTATTTAAGTGAGTAGATTCAACTTTGATTCCTGAAATAAGAGACAATTTGAAATACATTTGCTTTAAGGACCAATTAATCTTAAACCGTACAATTCCCTCTGTTAATTGAGGGTCCAATGCAACATGAATTTTGGTCATTTTTTTGTGAACAGTCCTGTGTAACATTAATAGTTTATAAAATTATGTTGATTTATTTGTATCCAGGTACAAATCGTAAATTATAGTTTCTTGATGCCAATAATAATATAATTATAGACCATATAACGGTGATTGAAACTATATCAACAAAAACATTATTATACTGAGGCCACAGCGAGTCGAATTTTATAGCCACTCAAAACATAAAATGTCCATCAAACACATCTTACAAAGTTTACTTGAGTTTACATTAGTACGGATTATAAACTGTAATCATGTAACGTTATATTAAGATAAATACACAATTTGAACAGTAGAACAACTCTTAAATACAGATTCACTTTGAAATGACGAACTTAAAAATCGTTTTTAAAAAAAGAAACCTCACATTGCTATTAAGGAAATTTATATATTTTATTATAAGCTTTTGAGTATAAAAATAAAGAGATGTGGTATGATTGCCAATAAGCCAACCATCCACCAAAATGAAATGATGAGGATGGAAACAAATTTAGGACACTGTACTGCCTTGATAAATGAGAAAAACCCATACCGTTAAGTAAGCAATGAAAATCACTGGTGTACAAAAAAATCAAAGAAGACTATTGTTCTGATTATGTTAAAAGCCAACGAAAAATACTTATCTGATTGGTACAAAGCATACATAAAAATCGTACCATAAAGAAAATGAAAAAAACCCAGCAAAATGAAGCGACTTAATGGTACTCCAAGATACTGAACGCCAATTCCAACTATCAAATAAACCATAATTTCCCAGTCTTAAATTCTCATCAGTATCCATTCACTGCTTTACGTATAAAGACTTCATAAAAAGTCAGTGAAAAGCTGGATTTGTGAAATACCAAATAATTTGATTTAGAAGTTCAAGCCATCATAATTGTTTAATAGGAAGCGTCAACGTTATTATTTTTTTAAGTAACATAAAACACTTCTATGTATCATCATATTTGATCAAATGCTAAATAACTTCTTTATATGAAATCACTATTTTTAGTAAATTTGTGTAGTAATACCAATTTTTATTCGTATTCTAGATATCAATCTCTCAAATTTATATGGCTTGATAATATGTCTTAAAAATATCTGCTTTAGACATTGATGACTGTGGCTACATTAATCCTTGTAAGAATGGAGGCACTTGTAATGACGAGGTTAACGGATACACATGTTCATGTGCTACAGGATTTTACGGCAAGACATGCCGAGCAAGTAAGTCAAAGACGTTTTACAAAAGTGATTGGTTCAATCAATGAACTATCCAGCATTTGACAAATATAAACAATTAATACATGCAAACTATTCAACATGCAGTATATGTATTAAATCCATATACAGTCACCTTAAGATCATCGGGTATCAGCTTAACATAGTAGAGTTTCAACCTTTGTGTTGCTATAATAACATACTAGTTATCTATAAATCATAATAACTAAACTAAACACATGTTTTATATCGTCTATAAAACTAACTTTTAAATAATTAAAATCGATAAATGTATTAATTGCTTTTGGCATGTCTCATTTAATCTTATGATGTTGATAATGACGATGATGATGGATGGCTGCTTAACGTCCAGCGGCAAATTAGTATACATATTTAGGACGAAAACATGTTAATGTAATATGAATATTAACACTGCTTTGTACTAGACCGACACAATGAGTCGGATTTGTAACGTGCTAGTTCACAAAGTTCAACAGTCCGCAGGAAGATATGTCACCTTATTCGGACACATTATTCTGACTCCGAGCCGACCAGTCTTTGCTCTTACACCTTAATGTCACATGCTTAGCCGACAAGCAGCAAATACCAATTTTAAAGTATTTGGTTTGATCCGGTCGGGGTTCGAACCCACGACCTCCCGCCCTCGAAGCGAACACACTACCACGACACCACCGAGGCGAACACGCTAAAACGAGACCACCAAGGCGGTTTTTAATCTTATTATGTGTTCAATGCCTATTAAAATACTGCAACTAAATAAAAATACAACCAATGATGCTGTATATAAGAATGCTTTATAGTACATTCATGCATGTTGTGTTTATTCAAACCTAGATTGCCAGTGTTCAGATAACCAGTGAAACAAAATCAAAGTGTTATTTCTATAATGGGATAACTATCTCTTTCTACAGAAATTCCATGCAGAGAACCAGACAGTGTAATGGATGCAACAACAACTTTAGATACACTTGAAGTTGGTGGTACTGTAACATATGTTTGTGACTTTGGTTATTTAATGTCGAGTGGAGACTCTATTTTAACATGTAGAATAGGACCTTTTTGGGAAGGAACTCTACCGACATGTTCAGGTAAGTGATAGTTGTTTTCAAATGGTATCAGTTGAATTATTGTAGGGCCTGTTAAGCTGATAGGGGTTTAGATTCTCGCTTTTTGATAAAGCCCGACAATGACCTTCCGGTGTTCACCGCTATGATCCTATCTTGATTCAAACTTGGGTGTGGAGTAGTGATAACATTGATCAGTAACGGTAACAACTTTACTGCGTCAGAGTTGCATTTCAACAATTTATATTTTTTCAGTGATGCTCGATGCAAAAGTATTTGCAAATCGAAAACCTAAAACAACCGTTAAAAAGCTGATAAATCCGAAAAGGACCTAACACGTAGCCAAATCCGGACAAGTAATCAGAGTTGTTATGAGGACATACATTCCTTAAATCAAAATCTGATTACAAAAACTCAAGAAGGTTACACATGGTTGCAAGTATCTATTAACTTGAAACAAAGAAAGAAAAAAAAACGCAATGGATAGACTCTGTATTTGTATGATATTGTTTGACAAATAAATGATCAATTGATTATGATATATACCGTTTATCACAAATTTGACGAAGTTGGAGTCATCAACATGTAAAGGCATTTTACTGTGATAGTATCGAACAAACATTAATCTTACAAACAAATTATATTCCAGTTATTAGATGCAAGATTACAGGATTAGATAAATACACTATTCCGTCAACGACTAGTGATGTTCCACCTACCACACAAGTTTCATTCACATGTACAATTGGCTACAAGTTACCAAACGGAGATTCAGGTCAAAGGGAATGTAAATTAGGGGGTAGATGGACTGCACCTCTACCAGCATGTGAGGGTAAGTAATTTAAGGCGACAGTAGTTTACCAATGTAAAAATATCGTCAATCGATTAAAAAGACACAAGTCAAGGTAACATGCAAAAACTGAGACAATCGTATGAACTCAAAAAGGGGCGAGACCAGGTTTGCCGACACGGTTAGCGTCTCCTACTAAGCAATCATCGCCCGTCATGCGAATCCACTCTCAATCGACATTTCATAGTCGGGAACAGGGGACATAAATGATAACATTACAAATCAGATGACTACTTGTATCTAAAAATCTCAAACCGCGAAAACATGGCCCTAGCGAATTAAAACACCAACATATCGTATTGGTCAACCAAATCATAATGTCCGTAAATCTATTGTAGTGTTCATAGAATTCGTTCTTCATCTTAACTTGATGGAACAGTTTTAGTGTAAGGTACACACCCTGTTAAGTCTGTATAGTGTCATTATTCACATTATAACGTGCAAACCGAATATGTTTACGCCATACGACAGATCAGAGAGTAGGTTACTGCTTACAAATGGGAAGTTGACAATTAGTAAATTGAAATCAGCACGTTTGCTATAGATTCTTGTTTGAAGCCGTCCATCTATTTTAATATCGTGGAAAAGATCAATATATGAACATGATGAAGCAATCTTTCTACGTTCGATATTAACCTTAACATTGACTTAACTGGGATGAATGAGATATAAGTTCTCATTGAAATTTGGGTTATTGAGATGTAGACATTGACTTAACTGGGATGAATGAGATATAAATTCTCATTGAAATTTAAGTTATTGAGATGTAGACATTGACTTAACTTGGATGAATGAGATATAAGTTCTCATTGAAATTTGGGTTATTTAGTGACAGGACATCAATTTACCAGAACGTGAAATTAAAAACTTTGCAAGATGATTTTCTTTTTATCTACGAAAAGGTTCTGTATGAATTATGCTTCATATTGGTACAAAAACAAATCTACCAGTAGTGGTGCACAATTAGTACCCGTTGAAAATAACGACTGTTTGCTGTTGTATCAATTTTGCAATCTCAACAAGTATATTGTGGATCAAAGTCAAGTAGTTTGATGATATCATCTTTGGTGTTTCCGTTGTTGGAAAATGTGTTGTTCTTCACAAAGTAAGATTTTTTTTGACCCGGAACAAGGAATTTTTGTCTACGCTTTCCTGATAAGTAGAAACCTCTATGTTCAATGAGGCAATGGAGTCGATCTTTTAATTACGCATAGGAATGTAAATCGTAGAAAATCCAAAGGCTATGAAATCACCATAAAACTATGCAAGATTTTTAATGAAGATTTTTGAGTATATTGACAAAATTGTAAGAATCTTATTGACACCGCAGACTGCATATACCTTATCACGTTATTTCTGAAGGCTGTCATTTTTTCTGTTATAACAATGATGGCAAGAACTATAGAAAGATGTTTAGTCGAAAATCTTGACGATCTTGTTATACATTTCGTTTTTGATAATAATTCTTTTTAAGTTAAAGTATCCAGTGTACATATGGGAAATTTTATCAACTTCATTTTGTAGAGAAGGACGTATTAGTAATTTTATTAAAATCTCCTCTTTCGTGAATGCTGTCAACTCAGAATAATCTTCCTTTGCATATAATATAAGAAGTAAGAGATTGTGGACGCTTTATTTTCTCTTATTGACAAAATGTGGGTTTAAACATGCTGTATACATATTTCAGATATAGATGAGTGTCTGTCAAATCCATGCAAGCACGGCGCTGAATGTAAAGATAAAGTGAACGATTACAGCTGCACGTGTCCCCTAGGTTACAAAGGAAAGAACTGTGAAATAGGTAAAACGTCAGATTAAAAAAAGCAGTTTCTCAGTGTAAAAAATATTTTAACGTTGGAAATCAGCCTTTAAAAAAAAAAGAAATACAAATGGTACTAAAGGGGGCAACAAAACCAATATTTCGAAGAAAAACAGCCAACACCTTTAACTTGTAGACTTTCAAAGATAGTAATTGCTTAGGTGTAACTGTCTTCATTTGTTATCCGTTTCATTTTAGATATAGATGATTGTCATTTACATCAATGCAAGAATGGAGCCAAATGTAAAGATAAAGTTAATGGCTACATGTGTATATGTCCAGCTGGTTACAAAGGAAAGCGATGTGAAATAGGTACATTTGTGGAGTTTTGTCGTCTTCCGATATATAAGTTAAACGTTTAGGACATTTTCATATTTCGACAATACATGTCTATTCATTGATTCTAGTGGCCACCATGTATTAAACAAAATCAAAACCTTATAGAAACGTTGTAAGGTTACAAACCAAATATGACCTAAAATATAGCCAAATACGATCAAGGAATACGAGTTTTGCTTGAGGGAGATATATTCCTTAATTTAGTATTTGTATAATTTAAACCTTTTTGACACAAAAAGTAACTCGAAAATATTAAATATCATGTGAAAATAAATTTAAACGATTCAATTGTATATTATGGAAACTCAAAACTTTAAGAATATCTTGTGCAATATTATGCTTTTTAACTTATCCCTCAGTTATGGGTGTTTATTTAAATTACATACAGGTCGATGTTAAGTATTTGAGAATTTGAAACTTTTTTTGTCTCTTTCCATAAAAAAATGATTACAAAATAAGTATTCAGCTTTGTTGTATTTTTGTAAACTGTAATATCCGAAATTTTTGACATGCGGTATTCACATTTCAGATATAAATGAATGTCTGCCAAATCCATGCAAGCATGGCGCTGAATGTAAAGATAAAGTGAACGGTTACAGCTGCACGTGTCCCCCAGGTTACAAAGGAAAAAACTGTGAAATAGGTATGCTGTCAGATTAGAACAACATTTTTTTATTTAAATATATGATTTAAGTGTTGGAAATCTGTTTTCTTAGAAAAAATATGAAAAACAAGGCAGAAGAGACTAAGGGGGCAACAAAACTCATATTTCGAAGACAAACAACCAAAAATTTTAACTTTTAGTCTTTCAAAGATTGTAATTGCTTAGGGGTAACTGTCTTCATTTGTTATCGGTTTCATTTTAGATATAGATGATTGTCGTCTACATCAATGCAAGAATGGAGCCAAATGTAAAGATAAAGTTAATGGCTACATGTGTATATGTCCAGCTGGTTACAAAGGAAAGCGATGTGAAATAGGTACATTTTTGGAGTTTTGTCGTCTTCCGATATATAAGTTAAACGTTTAGGATATTTTCATATTTCGACAATACATGTCTATTCATTGATTCTAGTGGCTACCATATATAAAACAAAATGAAAACCTAATAGAAACGTTGAAAAGCTACTCAAACCAAATATGACATAAAATAAAGCCAAATCCGATTAAGAAATACAAGTTTTGCTTGAGGGAGATACATTCCTTAATCTAGTATTTGTATAATTTAAACCTTTTTGAAACAAAAAGTAACTGGAAAATATTAAATATCATATAGAAATAAATTTAAACGATTCAATGGTATATTATGGAAACTCAAAACTTTAAGAGTATCTTGTGCAATATTATTCTTTTTAACTTATCCTTCGGTCATGGGTGTCTTATAAATGACGTACAGGTCGATGTTAAGTATTTGAGAATTTGAAACTTTTTTGTCTCTTTCTATAAAAAAAATGATTACAAAATAAGTATTCAGCTTTGTTGTATTTTTGTAAACTGTAATATTTGAAATTTTTGACATGCGGTATTCACATTTTAGATATAAATGAATGTCTACCAAATCCATGCAAGCATGGCGCTGAATGTAAAGATAAAGTGAACGGTTACAGCTGCACGTGTCCCCCAGGTTACAAAGGAAAAAACTGTGAAATAGGTATGCTGTCAGATTAGAATAAAATTTCTTTATTTAAATATATGATTTAAGTGTTGGAAATCTGTTTTCTTAGAAAAAATATGTAAAACAAGGCAGAAGAGACTAAGGGGGCAACAAAACCCATATTTTGAAGACTAACAACCAAAACTTTTAACTTTTAGACTTTCAAAGATAGTTATTGCTTAGTTGTAACTGTCTTCATTTGTTATCCGTTTCATTTTAGATAAAGATGATTGTCGTCTACATCAATGCAAGAATGGAGCCAAATGTAAAGATAAAGTTAATGGCTACATGTGTATATGTCCAGCTGGTTACAAAGGAAAGCGATGTGAAATAGGTACATTTTTGGAGTGTTGTCTTCCGATATATAAGTTAAACGTTTAGGACATTTTCATATTTCGACAATAAATGTCTATTCATTAATTCTAGTGGCCACCATATATTAAACAAAACCAAAACCTTATAGAAACGTTAAAGAGCTAATCAAACCAAATATGACCTAAAATATAGCAAAATCCGATCAAAGAATACGAGTTTTGCTTAAGGGAGATATATTCCTTAATTAAGTATTTGGATAATTTAAACCTTTTTGACACAAAAGTAACTGGAAAATATTAAATATCATATGAAAATAGATTTAATCGATTCAGTTGTATATTTTGGAAACTCAAAACTTTTAAGAGTATCTTGTGCAAAGTAAAATCACAAAAATACTGAACTCCGAGGACAATTCTAAAAGGAAAGTCCCTAATCAAATGGCAAAATCAAAAGCTCAAACACATCAAAAGAATGGATAAATACTGTCATATTCCTGAGCAATATTATGCTTTTTAACTTATGCTTCGGTCATGGTAGTCTAGTAAATGACGTACAGGTCGATATTAAGTATTTGAGAATTTGAAACTTTTTCGTCTCTTTCTATAAAAAAATGATTACAAAATAAGTATTCAGCTTTGTTGTATTGTTGTAAACTGTAATATGTGGAATATTTGACATGCGGTATTCATATTTCAGATATAAATGAATGTCTACCAAATCCATGCAAGCATGGCGCTGAATGTAAAGATAAAGTGAACGGTTACAGTTGCACGTGTCCCCCAGGTTACAAAGGAAAAAACTGTGAAATAGGTATGCTGCCAGATTAGAATAAAATTTCTTTATTTAAATATATGATTTAAGTGTTGGAAATCTGTTTTCTTAGAAAAAATATGAAAAACAAGGCAGAAGAGACTAAGGGGGCAACAAAACCCATATTTCGAAGACAAACAGCCAAAACTTTTAACTTTTAGACTTTCAAAGATAGAAATTGCTTAGGTGTAACTGTCTTCATTTGTTATCCGTTTCATTTTAGATATAGATGATTGTCGTCTACATCAATGCAAGAATGGAGCCAAATGTAAAGATAAAGTTAATGGCTACATGTGTATATGTCCAGCTGGTTACAAAGGAAAGCGATGTGAAATAGGTACATTTTTGGAGTGTTGTCTTCCGATATATAAGTTAAACGTTTAGGACATTTTCATATTTCGACAATAAATATCTATTCATTGATTCTAGTGGCCACCATATATTTAACAAAATCAAAACCTAATAGAAACATTGAAAAGCTTACAAACCAAATATGACATTACATATAGCCAAATCCGATCAAGGAATACGAGTTTTGCTGGTGGGAGATATATTCCTTAATTTAGTATTTGTATAATTTAAACCTTTTTGACACACAAAGAAACTGGAAAATATTAAATATCATATGAAAATAAATTTAAACGATTCAATTGTATATTATGGAAACTCAAAACTTTAAGAATATCTTGTGCAATAGTATGCTTTTTAACTTATCCTTCGGTCACGGGTGTCTAGTAAATGACGTACAGGTCGATGTTAAGTATTTTAGAATTTGAAACTTTTTTTGCCTCTTTCTATAAAAAAATGATTACAAAATAAGTATTCAGCTGTGTTGTATTTTTGTAAACTGTAATATCTGAAATATTTGACATGCAGTATTCACATTTCAGATATAAATGAATGTCTACCAAATCCATGCAAGCATGGCGCTGCATGTAAAGATAAAGTGAACGGTTACAGCTGCACGTGTCCCCCAGGTTACAAAGGAAAAAACTGTGGAATAGGTATGCTGTCAGATTAGAATAAAATTTCTTGATTTAAATATATGATTTAAGTGTTGGAAATCTGTTTTCTTAGAAAAAATATGAAAAGCAAGGCAGAAGAGACTAAGGGGGCAACAACACCCATATTTCGAAGACAAACAACCAAAACTTTTAACTTTTAGACTTTCAAAGATAGTTATTGCTTAGTTGTAACTGTCTTTATTTGTTATCCGTTTCATTTTAGATATAGATGATTGTCGTTTACATCAATGCAAGAATGGAGCCAAATGTAAAGATAAAGTTAATGGCTACATGTGTATATGTCTAGCTGGTTACAAAGGAAAGCGATGTGAAATAGGTACATTTTTGGAGTTTTGTCGTCTTCCGATATATAAGTTAAACGTTTAGGACATTTTCATATTTCGACAATAAATGTCTATTCATTAATTCTAGTGGCCACAATATATTAAACAAAATCAAAACCTAATAGAAACGTTAAAAAGCTAATCAAACCAAATATGACCTAAAATATAGCCAAATCCGATCAAGGAATAGGAGTTTTGCTTGAGGGAGATATATTACATAATTAAGTATTTGTATAATTTAAACCTTTTTGACACAAAATGTAACTGGAAAATATTAAATATCATATGAAAATAGATTTAAACGATTCAGTTGTATATTATGGAAACTCAAAACTTTAAGAGTATCTTGTGCAAAAAGTAAAATCACAAAAATACTGAACTCCGACGAAAATTCTAAAAGGAAAGTCCCTAATCAAATGGCAAAATCAAAAGCTCAAACACATCAAAAGAATGGATAACAACTGTCATATTCCTGAGCAATATTATGCTTTTTAACTTATGCTTCGGTCATGGTAG